TCTTCTATGGCTCTGAAGTGATAAGTGAAGTCAACGGTTTAATGGTAAAATGTAGTTAGTTCAAAACCAATCCAAATGATTCGACATCGTTTTACCATGACAGTCACTGGAAGGTCATTTTCACAGAGTAAACAAATCAGTTTGTGGACAAGTGCGTACACCTGCATCGATATGGACTTTATCCAATCCAACTCAAATAAGTTATGCTCATTCAACATGTGGCTGGACTCCATCAGTCATGAATAAGGGTCACATGACAAGTTGTTCTATTGTTGATGAATATATATCATGGGGAACCATACGAACTCAGGTCAATAAAATGTGTACAAAATTTCTTTTGGTCTGGCGGTGGTGGTCAACTGGTTCAGCTAATCAAAATAGTGACCTGAATGTGCTGAGTTCGAATCCGAACACCACCTCTTCCTCATTTTTACTACTTGTCTTCCCCCCCCCCCTCAGGCTTCCTTGGTACGACCGCGGTCCCCATCCTAAAGTTGACTGTACAATGGTATAAAGGAGGATGAAGTGAAAAATTAAAACCAAAACGAAAAATTTAGCCAGAAATTCGTCCATCTGGTAATAGTAAAACTGAGATAAGTAGCTTACGCAGTTTCTTATCTTTCGCATTGAATGAAATGTTTCCCACATGATATTATTGAATTAGCTTTGCACATGAAACGCACGCCAAGTATTCTCAAAGGTTAGCTAAATCTAGTAGATGACGCTGATAATTAATTTAGTTCGTAAGACAACAATGCATCGTCGAAAGGTAATAATACTCTTGTCAGCCCAACTACCAATCCAAATAAGAAATCCAGCTACTTGCTGATATCTTTAGGAGAGATTTCGCAGAACGCCAGCAGAAACACCTTGAAATCAGCATCCGCACTAAGGTTGTGGTTCATCAAGGTGCCAGACGACTTGTCCTGCGATTCGGTAACAGCAGGAGCCAAACATCTATGAAGACACGAGGTTTATAATTGCTGGTTTCTGCGCTAAATCCTGAAGACAAGATGGCAGACCAATTATTCAATGAGGAAGTCTACCGGAGTTGTTGTTCCATGTAAAAGCTTTCTATACTGTTGCAGCTTCATCGACTACAGTAGTTTGGCTTCGTTTTCTAGCGCTCCGCAATGAATTCATGGAGCTCTTCTCAACGTCGTATTCTCAAATGATTCCATCCTCCTGATGGTCATAGAAAGACCTGGATCACCTCAGTCAAAAACATGGAACACCTGGATCCGAAAACCATGTGCGCTCCCCAAATCATTATTCGGAACCGGCTTCCACGATGTCCTGGCCTCGCCACTGAACGCCGCGTATAGGTAGATATCACCGAAGAAACCTGCGAAGTCACTTCATCCTCGGATTAAATTAGCGTAGTTTTACAAGAACAGAAGCCGTTTTTCCTCTGAAAATAAAGCATCCTTTCAAAGGTTATCTGTTAAAAGGTGTCACACAAAAAAGAACATTTCCGTCCAGTGAGGAGTTGAGCATGAGGCTGAATTCAGAAGAACAGCGGTCAGCGACAGCGCAATCTCAACGTTAGTCACCTCACAATGCCACACAGCAGCGTTCGTGTGACCCATTTCACAATGAACCCATTTTCAAGGTAAACAATAATAACACACACCCCTACACGCACAACACTTACTTCAATCCGATATCCGGTCGGCGCATCGCTTTGGTCGAGAAGTTTGTATGGGCTCCGGAACCGTTCCAGTTACCAGGCATCGGTTTCGGATCAAACGAGACCACGACACCGAAATCTTCGGCAACGCGATGCAGAAGGAATCGGGCCATCCAAATGTGATCTCCCGCATTGACTCCGACGCACGGGCCGATTTGGAATTCCCACTGAGTGAGATACGTGCGGGTCAAAAGTCGGGCTATTAGATATTGAATGAATGATTCACTCAATGAAGACCACGCACACAAGGCATGTCATAGCATGGCACTTGTCCGCATACGGAATTAGTCGTCTCGTATAATTCGTCTGGACGATATCAGGTGAAGTTTATCAGTTCACTCGTGCGATTGCGGGATGAAAGCTACATTTAGTGCAGTAAAGCAATTAAACAATATACAGATCCTTGTATTTGCGAACTGGTACATAATAAACTAGGAAATGCTCAATTTAAAGCAGATGAGCACTATTTTGTACACTTTGATTCTGATGTAGCGTTCAGCATTGTCCCCTTTTTCCTCAATCGCGACACATCTCCAACTGGTCAAACCTGTTTTGTTATCCGATGAGAATAAAGGTTCTCGTTCACACTGAACAATTCGTATCCATTTTCTCAACTCAGCTCAAGAGCAAAGACATAAACGAAGGCGTATATGTCCGTGGGGTGGGGGGGAATCAAGGTCGACACGTAATCTAATTTTGCCGCGCGCATTTACTCGTCCCCGCTGGTGATCAAACTAACTGGGTCAGTCGACCCAATGGTCTCTATACAGTACAGTCGTATTTTTATGGTACGGTCATTGTTCGATTAGTGGACAAACCATGCCCTTACGCATATGCTCTCTGATTATCCCATTGGTATCAGATCACGAAATCTTATTGAGATCATTTGATCACGTGGCAGTCACAGCCTGTTATGGTTTGCACGCATACATTCAAATTCAAATCATCTTTAGTTTTAGAGTAAAGAAAAGTGGAAAATAAAGTTTTTTTCTAGGATGCATTCTGTCGTTTACAGATAAAAGCAAGTATGAACTACAAAAGTAAGGAGCGCTACAAATCAGTTTCAATGCTGATGGTATCCGATTGGTGATTGAACCAGATGCCTCACAGGAAGAATGTAACCAAACTGCCTAATTGAGCATCCGTTAGAATTAAACACAGGTATGACCATCATGTCTGTGTGTGTGCACGCACCCGTCAAACTGCTTACCTGAGACGGCATAACTTCCGCATTGGTACCACAGATTTCCACTCCAGCATAGAGGCAAGCCCTGTAGTGCGCCTCCAATATATCTCGACCCAAAGCTTTTCCGGCACCCACAGAACAATAGTAAGGACCTGTTCGGTTGCAGATTCGGAAGAAAACACAATGACACAGACCAGTTAGAATGGATTGCTCTCTATGTGTCTGTTAGAAGCAAACAGTATGAGATGAGACGCGGAATCAAACAGCATTTCTATTCACGCTTAGTTCTGGGATTTTGTTGATTACTGGATCAGATCTGTCACCTCACAAGTCATTTTCGATAGATATACATATATATACATAGATTTCATGATAATTAATATGTGAATGGCTGGGGAAAGTTTCCCTGGAAGCACACGACCGATTTCTCGGTTCTTGACGCTCATCAGGCATGCGTATCCGGTAATCTTTTGCCAGTTCATTCATATATTTGTACCCAGAAGGTGCATTTTCGTCACAATAACCTTTTTGCAACACCGGGAGATTTTTGGATAGACTGCTCTTTCAGAGCCAGTCCATTGAAGAATGATAAGATTCAATGTTTTTGTAAGTGGGTTAGATGCTTCAAATCGCAACAAACATGACTTGATCGTCTTTACAGAATATTCATAATAAGTAGTGTGTGAATGAATGGACAAAATTTCTTAGGAAGCACATATATATATATATATTGTAGTGAATGGAAATATTCCAGGTTAGCCTTTTACTGATCGGTCGGCTACCAACGTTTTGTTTCACAGTTGATACGACCACCACACATCCCAACATCTTTGCAATTGCAGCCCACTGATTCTAACAATTTTGTGTCTTCGTGTACTGCTTGCAACTTACGGATGCCTCGCTTTGAGTGCCACGTCATTTTTGTATGAAAACACTTACACTAGACCAATAAGCAAACAAGCGACCGCCGGATTTCTCGAGGAAGCAATATTTGGGAGTTCATGGCACAGAAATAGAACCATACAACGTTTTTTTCAGTGTGCTGTACGGTTCGATCTTTACCTAAAGCATCTACAATGGTTGAAATGCTCCTTATGAATGCAATACAATGCTTGTCCCAAGTAGCATTATCTCTGTTTTGTGACATCATTGTGTGGAGTCTCATATCGTCTTACGTCCCCACGTGTCTTCTTCAAACATGAGATGTGATCGAAGATCCAGTAATCATAGAGTCCAAAGCCTGAAAGCGCTGATTATCAGTCAACATTTATTCGCACATGGCTCATAGACTGTAATTGTACAACAGATCAGATTATTTAAAGCCCCTCATTGTTATTTCGATCAATAGAACAAAATTCCGTTACATAATAATCAGTGTAGGTTAGTACAATGACTAGTATATGAATAACTAGACAAAATTTCCATGGAAGCACACGTCCGGTTTCGTGGTTCTTGCCGCTCTTCAAGCATGCGTATTTGGTAGTCTTTCGTCTTTTTATTCGTATACTTGTACCCAGGAAATGTAGTTTCGTCACAATAACCTCGTTTGCAACAACAGGTGAATTTGTTTCGACAACTCTTTCTGGGATTGTCCATTAAAGAACCAATGCCATGATCCGACAATGCATATGTAACGCTAACACGCGAACTCACCCTGAGGAGCTGGGAATCCATTCTTGGGCCACTGAAGGGGATAACCGTCAGTATCCAGCAAAGTGTATTCTTGTTCAATTCCAAACCAAGGTTCATGTTCCTTCGCTCTCTCCATTACACCTTTGCACTCATGTCGGTGATTGGTTGCTGTATTTGGATTGACGCAGAAAAGAAAAGGGGAGGTTATGACAACGGTTGGGTAAGACGCATCCATGGGTCATGAAATCTGCGGATATTATAGTTGAGTTCACTCGTCTGTCACGCCAAAAGCCCTAGAGGCAACGAATTCAAAGGGTCATTCGCATGGTGTTTGAAAACAACCCGTAAGTATAACGAAATAGAAGGTGCCAGCAATGCGGGATTTGGTGATTTTTTGAGAAACACTGACCCCAAATACGAAGTGCACCAGATGCATCTAAATAATTTCATTCGCAAGCTATCTCAGTGATCTTTAGTTCCTGCAAGTTGGAGCTTCAAGTGAACTGAACCGGGCTGCGGGTTCGGCGCCACTAATGCGTGCAGGAAAACCCGCTTCAAAACGGGCTAGTCTGTTCAGAAATAAATTTGTTGCGTATTGAGCATAGAAGTGAACGCAGTTTTACTCTGTAACGGTGGTTAGAGCGCACTATCGTTTTGTGATGTTTCGATTTGTTTGTCCTTCCGGGTAGTGGGGGGGGGGGCAGTTACGTTGGCAG